ATGACATGGCGAGCGATCGCACGCTTCTGCTTAAAATCAAGAAGTCTATCCGTGGTTCTATTGTACCGGTACCTGCCCCACACAGCGCGTTTCAAACGTACTGCACGAGCACAAGCAGGAGACCACCAAGGCACGCATTTCTGAGAATGCCTGCCCGAAGTTTGGGGTATAGAATGAGAAGCTGCGGTTAAACAACGGAGGTGAAAGAGGTGGATAAAAGCTCATCAATGGAGAGAAGTCAAGGATCACCTCACTAGAAAACAGTTTGAGTATGAGAGTAAAGGTCCAATTTGCCTGATCAATTCCAGCGTGAGATACAAAGTGGTGAAGTGATATGACGGGGAGGAAGTAAGACAGATGTGGGAATATGATCGCCGTATGTAAATCGGGTGGAACAGACCAAGGTGAAGTCTAATGCGGCGGAGGCAAACGAGAATGTCTTTGGATCGATGCAAGAAATGAGTATGAGTCCGAGGATCAAAATGGGTGTGTGGTACCTGTGTTTAACTTAAACGGTCCAAACGTTAATACGTTCACCTGCGCGTAAGCGACCAAATGTATGTATTATACGTTTTCTTTGTATTCGGATCAACATTGCCACAATCTAGCTGAGTCACATTTTAGACATGAGAGAATTGGGTAGTGTGCCAACTCACTGTGTTCATATTAAAATAATTGGGGATGCCTGGGCACCATATGCTCTTTTTTCCTTTTAAAATAAAAGATTTCTTTTTTCCTCAAAAAATTTGGGGCGCTACGCGAGTGAACGTATATATTTGTTTGGACCGTTTAAGGGTTAAAACATGGAGGGGGTGGGTAACAAGAAAAGCCTCTAACTGAATGCGTCAGGAATCACAGTGAGACCCCCCCCCAGAGGAAATGATGGGCATTAAAATCGCCAAGTAACAGAAGTGGTGGCGGTAATGACGAAACAAGAAAGGCAATATCTGGGATAGATAATGCCCGAGAAGGAGAGAGATACAAAGAACAGAGTGTATACCACCTATGCAAGTGGATACGGGCTGCTGTGTAATGCAGCGAAGTACGAACGAATAGCTGATGGTATGGAATATCAGTGTGTAGAAGAAGGGCACTTTCATTAAAGGTCCCATCAGGAAAAGGATCTGAAGAATACAATAAATTATAGCCTGAGATAGGATAGATAACGGCAGAGTGTAATTTTCGGTTCCTGTAAGCAAACACCAACAGGGGAAAACTGGGAGAGCAACATCTGAAGTTCACCCCGATTACCCGAGGCCGCGAATATTCCACTGTAAATAGGCGATGATTGGCAACGATAAAGATACCTGAAATCCGCAGGTAAGGGTACCTGAGAGTAAGACACATATGCAACATCTGGGTATCTTTATTGTAGACGTTTCGCCATCCAGTGGCTTTATCAATACAAATTCTAGGACATAACTTGAAGACAGTAGAACTATGTACAGAAGATGAGGTAATCAGTCCCTCAACCTAGGAGTAGGTGCGAACAGCACCATAGTCGTGGAGATTCTGAGCAGAAGAAAGAATCCTGGCGTCTATATAGTAACGATCAGGGTGAAGCAGACGAGGGCAATTCATGGTAGGCGGGTCCAGTGGAAGTGGTCCTTCCCAAAGAGATGGGTTAGTTGTAGAGGTAGTTGTCGTAGTGTGAAGGTTATGTACATGGTCCTCAGAATTAAGATTCCATGATGTTGCAGTGTCTGAAAAAGTTGTGTACGAAGGTAATATAATACCGACAAGATGAGAGTAAGACACATATGCAACATCTGGGTATCTTTATTGTAGATGTTTCGCCATCCAGTGGCTTTTCAATACAAATTCTAGGACATAACTTGAAGACAGTAGAACTATGTAAGAAGATGAGGTAATCAGTCCCTAAACCTAGGAGTAGTGCGAACAGCACCATAGTCGTGGAGGATTCTGAAGCAGATTCTGCTTCAGAATCCAACGGGACTATGGTGCTGTTCGCACCTACTCCTAGGTTGAGGGACTGATTACCTCATCTTCTGTAACATAGTTCACTGTCTTCAAGTTATGTCCTAGAATTTGTATTGATAAAGTCACTGGATGGCAAATGTCTACAATAAAGATACCCAGATGTTGCATATGTGTCTTACTCTCCATCTTGTCGGTATTATATACCATTCGTACACAATTGTCAGACCACTGCAACATCATGGGAATCTTAATTTGAGGACATGTACATAACCTTTCACGGACTACGACAATACCTCTACAACTAACCCATCTCTTTGGGAAGGACTACTTCCACTGGGGAATCCGCCTACAGTGAATTTGCCCTAGTCTGCTTCACTGCGTTACTATATAAGCGCCAGGATTCTTCTCTTCTGCTTCAGAATCTCCACGACTATGGTGCTGTTCGCACCTACTCCTAGGTTGAGGGACTGATTACCTCATCTTCTGTACATAGTTCTACTGTCTTCAAGTTATGTCCTAGAATTTGTATTGATAAAGCCACTGGATGGCAAAACGTCTACAATAAAGATACCCAGATGTTGCATATGTGTCTTACTCTCATCTTGTCGGTATTATATACCATTCGTACACAGGTAAGGGTACCTACGGACTAGAGGGGTTAGAAAAGTCCACATGTGGTGGCAAAGGAAAACGTTCAAGTAGCGAAGGAACGGTGCGTTGTGAAGAAAGGAGTTGCGCAGATGGAGAAGAGGAAAGAGAAGGAACAGAGGGTGGATCAGTGTCCATTGATGGTTTGGTCTCTGCAATATATTCAGAGATTGCTTCAAGTGTTTCGGAGTTCAGAGACGTCGTATGGGAGACAATAATGGAGATGGAAGGAGGAGGAGTTTGAGTAAAGATCGGAGCTGTAATGGACTGTACCAAGGTGGGGGGGGGGGGGGGCGAAAGGGTGGAGGGCACTGAGAAGTGTGGGAGGGGACAGAAGAGGCAGAAACCTGGGAGGTGGCAGAAGAGGAAGAAACTTGGGAGGGGACAGGGAAGGAAGGCACAGTACAAGGAGGAGGATGAACCTCCACACTTGTAACAGTCAGTGAAAGGGGAAGACTCAGGTACAGAGGCCGGGAAGGTAAAATGTGGAGGTGGATGAAGGGAAGGAGGGGTTAAAGGAGATTTTTTGGGCCTCTGAGAAGTAGAGGGATGATTGGGAGGAGGTGTCGTACGAGGTCTTGTCGATACCGGGGTTTGTGAGGGAGGACACGAAGAAGTGAGGACAGACTGAGGAGTTGAAGTAGGGACGTCTGAGCCAAGGACAGCAAAAGAATTAGATACAGGAGACTATGGGACTGGCAACCACAGAGGAGGCTGCAGAAGATGTGACCCCAGAAGTGGGAGGACGCTTTGAAACACGAGAATAAGAAACACGGGGCAGTCTCCCTTGGAGGCGGAGATGAGAAACTGCCATAGCATAAGGGAGACCTTCTGCCTCTTTGAGGCAACGAATTTCCCGCTCATTTAAGTAGACTTGGCAACGGCGAGAGTACGAAGGGTGAGCCTCATGACAGTTAAGGCAAGAGGGAGGTCAACTGCAAGACGTATTAGAATGGTCATCGGCACCACAGACTGGGCATTCGGCTATAGATCTGCAATATTTTGCTGGGTGGCCAAATTGCCAGCAATTCCTACACTGTTGCGGTATAGGGATCGCCTTCCGAACTTGTAACCGATGTCCTGCTACATAAACTGAGGATGGGAGTTCACGGCTGTCAAAAGTTAAACGAGCCACATTGCAAGGGTATCGTCTTCGCCCGCAGGCAGGAAGGACATAAGTGTCTACCTTGAGAATTGGGAGATCTTGGAGTTCCAGCTGTTCAAGAATGTCATTGCCACATGTCTGGAAATTCTGTTGGGCTATGGTATGGGGGCAGAATAACAGTACCACTACAAGAATTGAGGGAATGATGTTTTTCCATAGTGATAGGAATAGTATCGATATGTGAAAGAAGAGAAAGATCATGAGCTTGGGTAGCATTCTGGACTGTGATGATGCATGTACCACTCTTAAGAGCATGAAAGGAAATATCTCTACCAATGTGGCATAGGAGCGCTTTGCCAATACTATGGTCAGAAAGATAGGCAGTAGAAGAAGTCGGTCTTAATGTAAAGAATTTAGTCCACTGTGTGGTCTGAAACTGAGTGTGGAGAGGAAGTGCATGGTGTGTCGGTCTTTTCTGAGTAGAAAGGGAAGGTAACGAAGTAACATCATTAGGAGATTGTTGTTGATGTTCAGAAGTGGGACCAGAGTCGGCCCAACATGGGACGGGCCGGCGATTCGAAAATTGCCGCACCGTAGAGGGAGAAGCCGGAAGCATAGTCAAAGGAGAGCAGAGGTCAGACAAATCGAAGGAGTCAGTGGAAGCCCCGGTACCTGAAGCAGGTGAGGAAACAGCACCAGCAAGAGGTACAGGGGCCTTAGGAATGTCCGAAGAGTGGCCAAAAGACGAGGCGAGGTCAGAACAGGGTGAGGTAACAATAAGGGGCCCGGGGGTAGCGGGTCATGGATTGGGTACTCCATGGTTAGGTTACTTCTTTCGTTTTGTTTTTAAGAAAAAAAAAAGAAGAAAAGAAAATAAAAATAAAAAAAAGAATAAAAAAGGGGGGACCGGGGAGGGATAGTTCCCAGGAGGAATGAAAGGGCCAGAAATCTCCCTCCGCGCCCAAGAGGACCTCAGCACCGCAAGTAGCACAGATGCAGCATGGAACCCGTGCCATACCCTACCCATCATGCCAGTAAACCAGCAATCCAGGATAGCAATCTCACATCTGCCGAGCTACCTCGGTGGACAAGAGAGGGCGGCCAGATATCCGCCACAAAGCATACCTCCTTCGGCCACCACCCTCCGGGATACCGGAGAGGGATCGGGACATCCCCAGGCAATCCAGATTCCACGGCAAACTACGCCACCCCCAAGCACCTCAACGGAATGGGATGGACCCCGGTGCCCTTTCCCCTACCTAGGAACTAGTGTGTCTGTGGGAAAAAATCCCAAAGGCCAAAAAGGAAGGGCAAAAGGGAGGGGTGGGGAGGAGGAGGAGGAAAGGAAAAAGGGGAGGATGGGAGAGGGAAGGGGGGATTGGGGGGTAATTAGGTTCGGTCTGAGGAAGGAGACCGACAGGTCTAATTCCTCAGACCAAGAGCCTCTTCACCACGCCAAGGAGCCCCCCTTGAAGAGGATGATGACTGTAAATGGTCGAAGTTGGACCGAAATGTCCTCTTAAGCTTCTTTCTCCTATATGCAGGTTATCTGTGTAAAGATTTGTTTGTTATTTGATAAAGCCCACTGTGTGGGTGAAATGTAGTCAATAAAGTATTGCATTATTATGCATGTGTTTAATTTTTCCATTAACAATAAATCATGATTAGAACCATTATAATTCAATATTTGTCATCAACAGGCACACCATACCCATATATAACAGATGAAGACTTTCCAGACATGCCTCTCTAGGGTTACGGCGCTTCAGCATACTGCTTGGTATATCATACATGTTAATCGTCAGACATTCTAGCAACACTTTTGCAAGCATACATCACAATCAACACCAGCACCAAACCTTTCAATTAAAAGAACAGAAAGGCACAGTACTGCAACTGGAACAATACACAAAAACCCACACATAGGAGAGGGAAATTTATGACGACATTTAGGTCCAACTTGGACCACTTACAAGTAGTCATGACCATCCCTCTTTTATGCATGGGGTTATTTGTGTTTCAATTAAAATCAACAAGTCCCCTTTATTGTGTAGCTCAACTTGTTGCTATGGTATTTTCAAGAACATTCTCAAATAAATTCAATGTTTTACATCATTACCAATGCGTGAATATATAACTCACCCTTGCACACAGGCACTGTGACTCAACCCTTCCTAGCTCAACTATGTAGTTGAGTACACACAGACAGGGAAGGATTTGAACCCATGGCAGTGTTCTAAGTTACTGCCTTTTTAGTCATAAGATAGGCCTAAGTCTACTCAAAATGTTCTGCATAACAATGGGCTGTCTGCATGCACGCCTGAATGTCACTATGATATTATTTTAACTCTGGGTTACAACCCTTGTGTTAAAATCCAGCTCATTCTGTGAAATGATTACATTTGAATGCTCAGAAACCTGCCATCCATAAAACTGGTTTAGAAACTTCTATTTTAAATAAATTACAACAATCTTAACAAATTAATAAACAAGAAAGACAGGTAGCATTTATTAATATATTTATGGGGAAGTGCTAAACCCAGAAGGGTAATGTAGTACCTGGGCAATGGCAGCAATCAGGCTTGATCTGAGGAAGGGAAGGCTAGTTCCAATTCCCTGGATCAAAAGCCCTTCACCATCATCAATACACCCTCTTGAAGGGGATGTAATGTTGAGAGAACATCAGCCATGAATGGGCACAAACAATTACTGTCAACAAGGAAGAATATACACACAGCTTTATATCAAGCTTTGTGATAATATTAGGCTCTGCAAAGAGCTTTATACAGTCAGCTCTATTAAAGCTCCTCTGTATAGTGCCTTTTTTGTCAATACAAATTGAAAAAGTGAATCCAAAATTGAACATGTGAAAAGGCCTGCAGAATATGTTATTACTATATACAGAACAGCTGTATAATCTTTATGCAACTGTATAATCTTGATACAGCTATATAATCTTGATACAGGTGTATAACCTTGATACAGCTATATAATCTTGATACAGCTGTATAATCCTGATACAGCTGTATAATTCTGATTAAGCTCTAAATAAAGCAAAACAATGCCACAACAAAACCTGGCTCTGCAACCAAGATTTTTTTCTGCATTAACCATAAGTTAGGCAAGTAGTTGACGATGTGTGAAGCATCTCAAGAGGACGAGGAAATATACAAACATGTGAAATACCCAGGTTCCTGTATTTAAAGATGTTTCACGATGCAGTAGGTTAGGTAAAGTTTGTCAGGAAACCAGACAAGTGTTTCTGATGTGGGTCTTAGTCATATGATGACCTGCAGCTGGAGCTTTTGGTCATCTGACCAAGGCCTTCCACTGGCTTACCACTCCACCACTTTAAAAACTATGGTTAGAATTATAACCATTAGATATCACCAACCAGAAGCCTTTTCAATTCAATACTGAGATTTTTTATATTTTTTATTATCACACTGGCCGATTCCCACCAAGGCAGGGTGGCCCGAAAAAGAAAAACTTTCACCATCATTCACTCCATCACTGTCTTGCCAAAAGGGTGCTTTACACTACAGTTTTTAAACTGAGATGTCATATGAAAACAATAGATGATGCATACATAGTTCTGTAAGACTAAGGGACTGACTACCTCATCGTCTACTGTCTTCTGTGTATAGTTCTGCAAGACAGAGGGACTGTTACCTCATCTTTTGCTGTCTTTGTATATCATCTCCATACTGAACTGAAAAATGTCACTGGTTGGCAAACGGTCTTCTAACAGATACCCAGGTATTGCACATGTGTATTTCCTCGTCTTGTCAGTATTGAATATCAATATTGTATATTTCAAGAGGATGGAGGCAGTACTGAATATAAATACTGTAATATTTCAAGGGGATGGGGGCCCCTCTCTGACAGCATTACCAGTTGTTTCCTGCCCAGTAATAACCAAGGAAAATTCTGAAGAACTCTCACTGCCCACTTTTTCGCTTTCAAAACTGCTCAGAAACTTTGCTGCCATGTTAATGGCAAATTTGTGTCCCTCTGACTGCAAGTGATAGCTTGTATGGCGGATGGCATTACTCCAGTCTTGAAGTGGTTTACCAACAAGAATAGCATCAGTGTTCTGGAACGCGACACATGGAGCGCAGTACAGACCGTCCTGTACAGTGCTGTACCGCAGTGTGGGGTACTGCTCATTATTGAAGAATTTTTCTGGCACGCGCCTCCTGTACTTGCCAAACTGTCGCTGCGGAGGCTTCCAGTGTGTGTCTGGAATGAACCTCGTTGTCAGAATCTTTTTGATGAGAGATTTGGAAAATCTCTTGGGAAATGACAAGTCAAGGGTTCCAATGTCGACAAACGATGTTTGCGACAATGCTTTGTGAAGGCTGGATGCCTCTAGGAAGTGAGTCATGACAAACTTCTCATTCATAGATATTCCTTGCGACGACCCTTTGGGCGAGCCGGACAAATCTGGTGAGCAAGTCGCTACAAACGTCTCGTTCGTGGGTCTTGCTTGCGACGACACTCTGTGCGAGCCAGCCGCCTCTAGTGAGCGCGTCATTTCAAGCTTCTCATTCATTGGTCCTGGTTGGGACGGATCTTCTGTCTGTAGAGAGATACGAAGAATTTCAGTTACCTGTGTAGGATTTTTTTTTCTAATTCTTTTAACTTCACATTTCAAGCAACACCCAGAACACTGTGACCTCTCAGGAGCATGAGAGGAAATGGACTTGACAGCAGATTATTACTGAGTAAAACACAAATACAACACTTGGGCATCTTTATTGTTGACAAGATTATCAATAAAGGTACTCAGCTGTTGTACACGTCTTACTTATAGCTGTAACATAATGATTACCATTTATGCTCATGATAACCCACACTGAGACAAACTCAGGAGATTAACTGATCTGTATATTTCGATCTCCTTCTGGGATCCTCTCTTCATCAGCAGAAGAGGATCCCAAAAGGGGTTGAAATATACAGATCAATTAATCTCCTGAGTTCCTGTCTCAATGTGGGTTATTATTGAGCACTGACATGTGTTTATTACACTTTAGTTATTCATTACCATTTTTATTATTATTATTATATGAATGGGGATACTCTAAGCCTACAGGAGTGTCATACACTGGCTGTAGAAGAGGAGGTAATCAGATTTGACCAAGGGGCAGAGAAGCTCCAATTCCTTGGATCAAGAGCTATCTTACACATCTTTCAAGTACACCATCACCAGATACAAGTAAGGCCAGTCCTCCATAAACCTTGATGCTGCTGAAAGTCCCTTCATGCAACAACGAAAGTTGCCCTTCCTTTCCCTTCCTGGAATCAAGCCTAATTATCTGTCATTCCAAATTAACTGTATGACAATGTATGTTTTACTGCTTCCTAATAAAAGTAATAATTTAATAAAGCCCTCCTCCCTGTTATACTGGGAAATATATGACTGAACTTGTGCCAATAATAATAATAATAATAATAATAATAATAATAATAATAATAATAATAATTCTCCATGGGGAAGTGGAGAAGAATGCTTCCTCTGAAGGCCATGTGTGTCATAAGAGGCAACTAAAATGCCAGGAGCAAGATGCTAGTAACACCTTCTCCTGTATACATTACTAAATGTACAAAAAGAAACAACTTACATTTCTTCTTTTTTTCAGGTTACCTTGCTTCAGTAAGAGACAACTGTTGTTAAATAATAATAATAATAATAATAATAATAATAATAATAATAATAATAATAATAATAATAATAAAGTAAGCTTTCTTATGAAGTCAAGGTCGCTGGCTCCTTTGTTCGTTAAAAAAAAAAAAATTCTGCTCTAGAGGGTGATTATAAAGAGGTCAGCGGCTCCTCTGTTTGACTTGAAAAAAAAAATGGGTGTGTCAATGTGTGTTTTATGAATATGTAATGCAATTTTTTTTGTGTAAATGCAACTGAAAAATTACAATAAAAACTGAACAGTGCATGGAAAGATCTTTATGCAATTTTGAATGGAATTTTTAGTCGATTCACAAAAAAATTACAATATATATAGAGAGGAGCTGTTTAGGAGAGCTCTTACTGTAATAATATGGCATTTTGTAATTATTGAGCACCTGTTGAAGAAGTTCACAAGGGCTTGCACAACAAGCCACACATGCAACACCACTTTCACAATGTAATTTCAAACAGCAGTCAAAAATGGACTGAGGAGAATGCTGATAGAATATTCAACTTTGGCTTATACAAGCTCTCATGTTAGGGGCCAGACAGCAGGTCATGTGGCTCCCAACATGGTGCTAATTGTAAATGAATACAGGAAGTTCTTGACTTACAAACATGTTGAGAATCTTTGGTATTGAGTATATCATTATTACATCATTAATGTGTACAATATCATTATTATGTATTATTTTACACACTACAGACAGTCTCCAACATGTTCGTAAGTTGAAGACTTCCTGTATTAGGAGGTCCCAAATGTGGAAGTCGAAGACTACCGTAATGACAGAATTGTAAATGAATAATGATAGAATTTTGTATTTTATTAAAGCCTTTCACTTGAGGCACTTTTTTCTGTGGAACTTGAAAGAGTACAGGAGAAAGGGAAAAATGAGTAGAGAGAAAAGGAAAAAGACAATGGGATAAAATGAGGGTGTGGGAGAGGAGCAGGGAAGCAGAGAGTGGGAAAGAGAAATAGAAAGAATCATGAACAAGTGATCGTGAACTCACGAATCGCTGCAAAAAAATTAGTTGTCCAGCAGACTATTATATGAGAGCTAATACTTAAGATGGTATTCACATGATGGACGTTTGATAAGCTGAAGTTATATGTGCTGTACTATCTTGCACCTATGACAAGAGGGCCGCATACAGTGCTACAAATAGAATAAAAACAAGGCACAATACCATGACTGGAACAATACACAAATAACCTGCACTTGGGCCCAAGTCGGACCAAAACATCATCATAGGCTTCTTTCTTCTAAGTGCGGGTTATTTGTGTACAGTGCTACATTGCCCCAATGTGTCTGTTTGCTCACAAGTGTCATGTATTACCTTATACATATAACAGGTGACTGCACATGGTGCTAGAGCACTCTTCATCGTCTTATGACATAACTTTTATGAATGCTCCTCACTGTCGATTCATTTAACTTTCTGCCAAACTTGCGGGACATTTCCCTCGCAGCCTTGACTGGCCCCAACTCGCAGCAGGCATGGTAGATCTGCAGACGCTGCTCAGGCATCCAGCGTACGCACTCGCGACGGCTTCTTCCCAGCAACAGACTGCCATCTTCTTCGACCTGTTGATTGATGGTGATGGTCAATTTCAGTCTTCAAAGGAATTTTCCAATTGTGAGCAGCTGGGAGGCATTGTATAATGGGGAGGCAGCCACATGGACTCCTAGCACTTCCCATACACTTACTGTGGTGGTGGTGGTGGTGGTTGTTTGTCAGGAGAAATAAAAAAAATTCTCTTGACATGGGTCTTAGACTATGTTGTTAACTATTTGTCAGGAGAAATCCAGACATGGATCCTTAATTATATGCTGACCCTCTCAACAGCTCCTTAGGATCATCTTCAGAGTTATGTCAGTGATTTAATCAGGTGCGCCCTTGATCCAAGGTCACGACTGTGTCCATGCAGAGTACTCTGCTCTCTTCACCACTGCCATGCAGCTGCTTCTTGGTCATGACATGACCTGCTCAGTGGAGCTTTTGTTTATCTAACTGGGGCCTTTTGTTGGCATAGCAGTCCACCCCCATAAAAAAAATCAAAGATGACAGCCAGGTAGAGCAGGTAAGCACCACACAAGGTGACCCAAAGCCAGGATGTGAGAGTGGGAAAACTCACAAAACTCATCAGAGGTATATACATAAGATGCCATGGCAAGTTTTTCCACCCTATATAAAAAAAAAAAAACAAGGGCACAACACAGCAGTGTTCTATGACTTTGCAATAGTAAAGTTGCTTCAAATTGTCAGTTTCCATCTTGCTTCCTCTCAGTAATAGTTTACTTTCTCTTGAAAGGACACAGTAAGAACTTTTTTCCAGTGGTACAAAAACTTTATTGCATATTTCAACATTTCAATGTAGTTTGCAGAGTTATTGGACGTATTTGAAACATTATGCGATGTCTCATTTCTATTTGTAATTCTGTATTGTATGTGCAACTTTTTTTTTTTTAACACATCAGCCATTTTCCACCAAGGTAGGGTGGCCCGAAAAAGAAAAAACTTTCACCATTATTCACTCCATCACTGTATGTGCAACATACACTGACCTTATGTAATATGTGCAATTAACAAAAAAAAATTCTTATTAAGCAGAATTAAGAGCTGGTGATCTGATTTAACTAAGCATGGCAGCCATGGTCCTTGAACACATCTAGTGCATAAAGTTAGTGATGTCTCTGTATTTAACTGCAGTGTCAGAGCCTGAGTAAACATAGTGATGACAACTGCACTCCTAGAGTGCAATAAATGCAATGGTAACTTTCATACTGTGGTGTAAATGGCTTAGACAACACACAAGTTGCAGAATGAGACCTGTGAAACATCTGGCTGGCAAAATGTTTCCTTAATAAAGATTCCCAAATGTTGCATTAGTGCTTCATTCTTCAATTTCCATCATTATTAGTGACACCTGGTTAAAACATGACACCAAAGACACTTAACCCCGGATACACAGCCACACACAACTGCAGGCCTGGTCAATACATGGCTCAAATACCAATTTACTAATGAGATTAAATGTACAGCAGACCATCGTTTAACACGGTTTTGTTTGGCAGGTTTTAGTTATAGCACTACTGAAGAATTGCGGCATAATATTTTTGTACAACACTTCGTAAAATTAACTTAACACAGTTCAGTTTGTGGGAGGGGAAAATATTTGGAGCGTCACCTGTGGGATACACTCTGCCTGGCTGTGGGTTAGACCACTGAGTCAATGGGAGAGACCTACCACCATCCCCCGCCACCAATCCCACCACCCTTGTCACAGCCTTGGGTTCATGCATGTGTAGGACCATTCTCTGCTAGGTAAATGTGAGTAAATATGAGTTTGTGTGATGACTGACTGACTTACTGATTTACTGACTTGACTGACTTACTGACTTGACTGACTTACTGACCTGACTGACTTGACTGACTAGCTTGGCTGACTTGACTGTATTACTGACTGACTTACTAAGTTGACTGACTTACTGACTTGACTGATTTATGCACAACCATCAACTTCAGTACCAGAACCTCTACCATCCACCTCAGCCCAGTAGGACCACAACATAACTCTCACTCTCTTCACAATCATCCACAAACACCAGCACCCACAATTTAAGGTAAGAAATACTATTATTTTTGTTGCATTTGTAGTCTTAAGCAGTAAAAACAACATAATACATCATAACAATAAATTACAGTTAAATATTTACTTTTATTTTTGTAAGATCTGTTGGTCTAAAAAAAATTGTTTGGCTTTTGGAGGGCTCTTAGGAATGTAACCCTATTTTTCCATTGTTTTTGGTGCTTTTAACTGCTAAGTAAGCCACTATGGGCCCCAAGAAAGCTTCTAGTGCCAGCCCTATGGTAAAGAATGTCAGAAACACACG